CTGTAAAGATTGAAAGATATAACTAGTTCCTCAAATGCACAGACACTAATACAAGGTCACAAGGATCATGAATAATCAAGGAAACATGATACCACCAGAGGAGACTAATAAAAACCCTGAATAGCCAAAGCAATCTCGAGCAGGCAAAAGCTGGAGGCATCACAATTCCTGATTTCAAACTTTATTACAAAGCAATAGTAATCAAATGAGTACGGTACTGCTATAAAAACAGACATATAGACTAATGGAACAGATCTGAGAGTCCAGAAATAAACCCATGTGTATACACTCAACTAATTTTTGACAAGAGAACCAAGAGCACTTAATGAGGAAAAGATAGTCTCTTCAATAAATGGTGTTGGAAAACTGGATATTTACACATAGGAGAATGTAATTGGACTCCTAGCTTACACCACTCACAAAAATTAACTTAAAACAGATTAAAGACATAAACGTAGGACCCAAAACTATAAAACTACTAAAAGAAAATATAAGGATATAGCTTCTAGGTGCTGGTCTTGCAACAATTTTTTTGGATATGACACCTGAAACGCAAATGACAAAAGCAAAAATAAATAAGTGGGACTACATGAAACTAAAACGTTTCTGCACAGCAAAAGAAACAATCAGCAAAATGGAAAGGCAACCTTGAAATGAGAGAAATTTTGCAAGTCCGATGAGGGATTAATATCGAATATAAAGAACTCATACAACTCAATAGTAAAAACACAAACAATCCATTTTAAAAATGGGCAAAGGATTAAATTAGACATTTTCCAGAGAAGACATACAAACGGCCAACATGTACATGAAAAGATGCTCAGCATCATTAATCAAGGGAAATGTGAGTCAAAATAACAAAGAGGTATTACTTCACACCTGTTAGGCTGGTTATTACCAAAAAGACAAGAAGTAACAAGTGTCAGCAAGGATGTGGAGAAAAGGGAACCCTCATGCATTGTTGGAAGGAATGTAAATTAATGTAACCACTATGGGAAACAGTATGGCTGTCCTTCAAAAAATTAAAAATAGAACTACCATATGATCAAGCTATTCCACTTCTGAGTTTCTATCTGAAGGAAATAAAAACACTAATTTGAAAAGATATGTGCACCCTCACATTTACTGAAACATTATTTACAACAGCCAAGAAATGGAAGGAACCTAAGTGCCCATCAGTAGATGAATGGATAAAGAAATTGTGCTATATACAAAAATGGAATATTATTCAGCCATAAAAGAATGAAATCTTGCTACTTGCTATGACATGAATGGACCTCGAGGGCATCATGCTTTGTGAAATAAGTTAGGCAGAGAAAGACCATGTGATCTCACTATATGTTGAATCTAAAAAAGCCAAATTCATAGAAATAGAGAGTAGAATAGTGGTTGCTGGGAGCTGGGGGTTGGGGGGTAAATAGAAAGATGCTGGTCAAAGGGTACAAATTTCCAACTCTCAGGTATCTAATGTACAGCTTGGTGACTACAGTTAACAATACTGTAATATATACTTGAAAGTTGTTAAGAAGAGTAGATCTTAAATGTTATCACTACAGAAGATAATGGTAATTATGTAAGGGGATTGGAGGTGTTCACTAACACTACTGTGTTAATCATTTTGCAGTACATACATATATCAAATCATCACGTTGTACACTTTAAGTTTACATATGTTAAATGTCAATAATATCTCGATAAAGCTGGAAGAAACAAAAAATTAGCAGCTAGCATATATGAGCTGCGTACCGTGTACCGAGCACCTTGGGTTCATTCTCTCATGTGCTTCACACAATAACCCTCTGGTAGGTGCTGTTATCCCTATTTCAGAGATAAGAAAATGAAGACTTAGATAAGTAGCAAAATCACCAGCTAGTAGGATCTATCTGAATCCAGGACTGGGTTCCTAACATACTCAGCACTTTTTAAAGAGTGATGGGTTTGGTGCAATCCCTATATATTATATAAAATATTTATTTAACATCTGCACTGGAAAAATAGAGACCCACTCAAAAAACACTTTTTTAAAAGGGGAATTCACCCTTTTTAAAGTTCAGGCTGTAGACATTTACCTCTCCTCCCCTAGAAGCAGGGGACTCTTCGGTGAATATATTGAAAATGCTAATGATGGTAGTGAAGGTTCGTAATGTGGGTGATGGGATCCCAGAGGGAAGCCCTGCTCTTCCTGGCACTCTCATTGAAGGGTATGCCCATGGGAAGCCCTCAGCTTGCTGTTCCTACCTATTCTCCCTTGATGCAAGGCCTAACTTACACTGGGCATGCCACTCAATGAGAGAGCTTATAGGGAAACCAATCCCAAACAGCTGCCCCATCCTTAGAACTTAGCATGATCAAGGTGCTGGAATCACTAGCCATGAGGAGAACCAGCCGTCTTAAAGAGGAAGGCAAAGATAATCTGAGGCCCTAACTCTAGAGAAACGAGATAAAATTTAGAAAAAAGAAGATAACTTAAAATGACATCTCTAATGATGAATCTTGGAGTTGAGAAAATAAAGTATAGCCATAAAGGAATGAAGTACTGTGCAAAAGGCACAGAAAATAAGAATGCTCTCAGATTTTCAATATAGAATTGCCAAAATTAGAAATAAGACTAAGCACAAAGTTAAGAAAAAAATCCCCCACAGTGTAGCCTAAAAAAGATCAAAAACAAAGACAAAAATAAAAAAGACAAGGGAAAATAAAAGAAAAAGTAAGACCCAATCAGTGAGGTCCAGCAGCCACACAATAAGCACCTACCCAAAAGATCATATGGGAGAAAACTATCAAAGAAATGAAAGAAGGGACTTTCCCAGAGTGGAGATGTATGTGGCTTTGGATCGAAAAGACCCACCAAGTGTCCAGCACAATAAGTGAGAAAATACCCAAATTTAGATAGAGCTTTGTGAAAACATTTTCAGGAAGAAAATATCAAACCTTTTAGAGACAAAAATATTGTCATCTATGAAGGAAAAGAATCCAATCCGTTTTCCACCTAATACCAGTGACGCTGAATGCTAGAAGGGGCAATGCCTACCAATTTCTGAGGTAACATTATTTCAGCCTAAATTCTCTAGCCTGCCAAACCATCGGTGGGAAGGCAGAAGAAAGATTTTTCATCTATTCAAGGACTCAGAAAATTTGCCTCCCCTGAGCCCTTTCTCAGAAAGTAATTTAAGGATATTATCCACAAAATAAAGGAAACCAAGAAAGAAGATGGCAAAGGGTTAGGAACAAGGACATCCAGGGGACCTCTTCCTCCTGGCATCAGCTCTTTGTTGCTGCTTCCTCGTGGCTTCAGTTTGCCAGGACCCCTTGTTTCAGTCAGAGTGCAGACGAGAAATAGATTCAACCTGATTGAAAAGAGATTCTTGTCAAAGGTGAGGCCAGGGTCAGGGAAACCAAAGAGGACTGGGGAAGCACCCCGGGGCTAGCAGCAGCAGGAAGCTCCATCACCCCTAGGCCCACAGGTTGAGGCAGTTAGGGAACTGGAGAGGGTGCTGGGCTTCCCGCGAGGGCCCTCCTGGAGGCACTGAGACCTTCGGGGAATCACTCACCGCCAACCACAATCAGATGGGAGAGAACTGGGGCAAAAAGACCTCCTTTCTCTCCTCAAGGAAGAGGACCAGACTTCCAGGCAAGGTCAAGGTGCAGAGAGTGGCCAGGTGATTTGGAGAGACAAATGGAGAACATCCAACACACCCTCATGGCCTTGGCTAAACTTGAGGCTTTTTTCCGTAAATTCCTCACACAGTTGCTTTAGTCGCTCAGTATGCCCTAGTTCTAGCTGAGAGAGCATTGCAGCTGTGCCATCATTGGCCAGGCTGTGGGTTCGCTACCCGTGGGTCAGCTGCCTGCTCCGATCAGCTTGTTGGAAATGGTGGGAGTGAGGGAGCAGGTGATGTATGACAAAACATCCTCGCTCTGGGTAGAGCTGCTTCACCTGTTGGCAGATCTAAGACCGATGCAAGTGTGGGCTGTATTGTGTATAAATTAAACAATAGTCATTGTGACATTGTAATTGATTTGCCGCAGGGGTCAAATGATAACGGTTAAGGTTTATTGAGCACTGTCTATGATCCAGGCATGGTAAAATCACTTTATGGGCATTCTCTCATCTAATCTTTGCAGCTCCTCTGTAAGTTGGCCTGATTATTTTTCATACATGACACACGAAGAGGTCGCACTGGCAGAGGTTAAGCAGCCTGGCAGAGGATGCCCAGTGATCGATAAGTGGTGGAAGCTGGATTTCACCCAGCGCCAGCAGTCTGACTCTGGACCTGAGAGCCTGAACACCATTCTTGTCACATCTATGAGAAATAAAAATTAACACCATCTTTTAAAAGAGCTCACTTTTGGGGAGATTTTCTTCCTTCCAATCAGTGTTTCCTAAAGTGATACTATAGCAGCGCTACAGCGATCCAAGATGTTGCATTACGGACAATAGCATAAAGGGTAGATGGGATCTAGCAGGATTATGTCTTGCAACTACATGTGAATGTGCATTTATCTCAAAATAAACCTAAACAAATTTTATAATAGCAGCATCAACTACCATGAATTCATCTGCTCAACAAATATCTATTAGGTGTCTTCTATGTGCCAGGCGCTGTTCTAGATACTGAAGAGACAGCAGAAAAGGACACAGTTGGAAATCCTGGACCTCATAGAATTGTCATTCTAAGGGAAGTTGGCTTGTCCAAAGCTTCATTCAATACAATTGCATATAATTCAAGTTAGTAATACATGCCTATTACATAAATGTTGATTACAAGGTATTCACTTCCTGATCCCCTGCACAGTAGATCTGATTAGGTTTCCCTCAGTTACTGCACCAGGCTCATAGTATTTGTGAATACCAAGCCTTACTGCAAATGGTAAATAAATGAGTCATTCTTTCTCTCTAGTCTAGTGTTTAGAAAACCTGCAAAATGTAAACGCTTCTCTATTCAACATGTGCTTGGAAAGTCTAACTCCCTTCTCTTCCCTGTGTTTCTTTGCTCTAGGCTACAGAGATTGTCCAAGTACGAAGCTGTGGACAGTTAGTTGTCTCAGAAAAAAATGCGATGTGATTGATGAATTGCAGATCCTGGGTAGTTCTCCCAAAGACAGATCTTTCTCTCCACCATTCCGGTGCTCGAGGGATCCGAGACATCCGGGAAGAAGATGCGGCTGGCAGACAGAAAACGGCAGCCACCGAAGCGCTGAGGGGCATCCTTCCAGGCATTTCTGTCCCAGCTGCAAGTTTTCCCCATGATGTCCTGTAACAGCACGTCCATAGAGACTTTCGAATACCTGCTGCCGAATGGGAGCAATGTGTCAGACTCGGGGGCGACCATGCCACCCGCACCCCTCCGAGTGTGCTTGGCAGTAATCATGATGCTCATGATCGTGGTGGGACTCCTTGGCAATGCTGTCGTCTGCATCATTGTGTACCAGAGGCCCGCCATGCGCTCCGCCATCAACCTGTTGCTAGCCACGCTGGCCTTCTCCGACATCATGTTGTCCTTATGCTGTATGCCCTTCACTGCCGTCACCCTGATCACTGTCCACTGGCACTTTGGGGATTACTTTTGCCGGCTCTCCGCCACACTCTACTGGTTTTTTGTCCTGGAGGGCGTGGCCATCCTGCTCATCATCAGTGTGGACCGCTTTCTCATCATCGTCCAACGCCAGGATAAGCTGAACCCACGGAGGGCCAAGGTGATCATTGCTGTGTCCTGGGCACTGTCCTTCTGCGTCTCGGCCCCCTCGCTGGCTGGCTGGACTATCGTGGAGGTGCCAGCACGGGCCCCCCAATGCGTACTGGGCTACACCGAGTTCCCGGCTGGTCGTGCCTATGTGGTGATGCTGGTGGTGGCTGTGTTCTTCGTACCCTTCAGCGTCATGCTGTGCTCCTACCTGTGCATCCTGCACACTTTCCGGAAGAATGCCACCCGTGTCCACAACCAGTCCGACAGCCTAGACCTGAGACAACTCACCAGGGCTGGCCTGCGGCGGCTCCAGCGGCAACAGCAGGTCAGCTTGGACTTGAGCTTCAAAACCAAGGCCTTCACCACCATCCTCATCCTTTTTGTGGGCTTCTCACTGTGCTGGTTGCCACACTCGGTCTACAGCCTTCTGTCTGTGTTCAGCCGGAGGTTCTACTGCAGCCCCTCGTTCTACACCACCAGCTCCTGCATCCTGTGGCTCAGCTATGTCAAGTCTGTCTTCAACCCTGTCGTTTACTGCTGGAGGATCAAAAAATTCCGCGAGGCCTGCATAGAGTTGCTGCCCCAGACCTTCCAAATCCTCCCCAGAGTGCCTGAGCGGATCCGAAGGCGAATCCAGCCGAGCACCGTCTACGCATGCAACGAAAACCAGTCTGCCGTCTAGGGAGAAGTCGGCGGGGTGAAAGAGGTGCACCGGGACTGGGGCCAAGACGGAGCCCCTCTGTCCTGCTGCTCTGTTTCCTGGCACTTGAATCGTACTGGGCATTTTGTGGTGGTCATTTAAGCACAATGGTACTCATTTGTTACCAGATGAGCTGCGGCTCCCAAGTTTGCAAAATGAATTATTTTTGTTTCTCGCTGCAGGAGAACAGAGGTGGATTTGATGGAACCTGGACAGTAGTTAAGATGCTGGGAAATGGCGGCGGGGGTGGTAGGGAGGTGAAGAAGGTGGGCAGGAAGTTAAGGAGGGCAGCAGGGAATAGAGTTGGCCGAGTGTGGGGCAGGAGGAAGGTTCTGTCTGAAGGGCTCCCTCTGTACCTGATGTGAGAAACCCAGATAGGCAGCATCTCCCTGGGAAGCATTTACTTCATTTGACACCCACATTCTTCAGAGGCATTTACGTTTGTGGTGTATGGGGAAGTGTGCAAGGTTCTTTACGTTGATCAGATGTGCATTCCTGACCAGGCCAAATTATCCTTTCTAGAAACCAAAATCACACTGGGAAGCGGAGTAGCCCCTGTGCTTCTCAACTCTCAGTATGACATATGGGAGGCCTCAGTGGCTCGAAGCCCAGGGACTGTTCGGGGGCAGCTCAGCTGAGATGAGAAGCCCGCCTGAGTGCTCCTGCATGTACCCCACCCCTCCTACCTGCACAGCCCGCCCCATCCTTGCACCCCAAGGCCCTTCACCCTCGCTGTCTGTGCTGGCAGTCTCTGTACCCCTTCTTTTCCCCTTCGCCGCTCCCTGTGCCCCCTTTTGTTTTCATTCCATCCATACCCAGTGAAGAAGAAAAGAACATGGTCCTCTTCTTGTAATTCATCTTTTCCTCAAGTGTTTGTAGCGACTTGCTTTCCGTCTCCCAAGTGGTCAATGGGCTTTGTTTACATGTTTCCTCTCGACACCCTGAGGCTTCAGCCTCTGTGAGCTGCCACATTCACTTCAGCACTGGAACTGCTGGCAGGGTATGTACTGGACACCCAACTGGCTGGCAGTTCCCCATTGATCTCTATGCTCCTCCTACCTCATTCAGACGCTGTCCTCTGGGCCACCTACCCGGGATCTTGGTCCTCTGAGCCCAGGCAGGACCGGGGCCCCGGAAGTGCAGCCACCTAGAGGAGACCTTTCTGCTTGTGCTGTACCCTTGGCCTCTGTACCCAGGGCTACCCGTTACCACTGGGGACATGAGATCAACTTCTCTGAGTTTAAGGCACACCACTGAGCCCACAAAGCTCTCTTTACAGCTTTAGATCTGAAGAGAGTGGGAAATTTAAGGAGAAATTCAGAAAATCCAATTCCAAGTCTAACTCAATCAGGAACTGGTTGTGTGAGCTTATTTGTTGCACCTCACTTCTCTGGACCTCAGTTTCCCCATTTGCCAAGTGAGGAAGCAGGTCTAGATCATCTCCAATGTCTCTTTTATCTCCAAACATTCTGATTCTAAAATGTGTGTATTGTTTACTCGTATCGCCGGATCCCCTACATTCGTTTATCTACCCATGCAACAAGCCTTTATTAAGTGCCTACTAGGTGCAAGGCACTGTGGGGGAGATAGTGACGAATGGGCACAGGCTGTACCCGAAAGCAGTCAGATTCATCGCCATATAATCACAACTCAAATTTGGCCTAAGAACACAGATGCCCCCTTTTGTTTCTCTTCTTGTTTCCTTTCCAATATTGATATTAAGAGGCCAGCTCCTCGTTCTCACACTGGCTTCCTGTGGCACTCGCAACAGAGGCAGGAAAAAAAAAAAAAGGGAGTTAAGAAGAACATAATTTACATGATCTAAACCCAGAGGAGGATCTGTCCAGAAAATAATTAACACCTTTTCTCATTAACTCCACCCTCCTTTTATACCCAGATGGAGAGAGAAAGATGATAGCAATTGGCCTGTAATTGATTGAGGTGGCACCCATCCTGAATGCCCCAGCAAGGGCAGAGTTTGCCTTCAGCTCCCAAGAGGCAGACTTGCACGGTCTCTGGTGTCCAAGAGCACAGCCAGACTTCCGAGAGGACCAGGCCAGTGGGTGTCTCCCCTCTGGTGGGCATTTAAGGGTGTTCCTCCAGAGCCTTGAGTAAAAGAGAAATCACAAAACTGAATGAATGAAGGTACCAAAATTTACATCAATCAGTGTTATATGATGTATGTTGGACAGTAATATATGTTTCAAAGTAATAATTTTGTATATATTTTAAATAAAGTATTATTGTTCTTTCGGTGTATAAGACTACGTTATTGCCCAAACTAGCACCAAGGCCATGAATAGTAAGCAAAAGTCAGTGTCCAACATCTCCTAAGACACAACTTTAGGAAATCTCAGATCTGTAAGTTACTAACCAAGCTGGATGACTAAAGAAGGGTATCAACAATAAGATAAAACCAGGACACTGTTTGAGCAATGGGGTCACAACTGGGATGCCCACATTTTTTAAAATTCACAGCCCTGTTAAGTAACTCCAACTAGTGAGTCTTAACCTCTGACTTTCAGTGTGCCACCTTCAGGCCTGTAACGAACTTTGCCTTCTTAAGATAATTGCACAAATGCCCAGTTCTAGTCTCCTGTGAGGCTCGCTGGACAACCCACTGCTTCTTTGTTTTGTGTTTTCATCTCCTCATTAGCCCTGGGGTCACCCGAATCTTGGGGTACCTATTGTTTTGCGGGACCTTGAGCATAATTAGGATTGAGGAGGCCAGTACCCAGGATCCTTGGGAGATCCTCGGCTCAGAAAATGAGACACTAATAAGTCTCAGAAGTGTCATCCTAATTCTGACTACTCCTGAAAATCCACTACCTTTTCATCTTGAATCCTGGTCCCTGTTGTTGGGGTGAAATGAAAGCAAATTTAGTCTAGGACGTTCTGACCACCAAGATGAATGACAAAAATCTAGATCAATTCCTCCTTTGCTATTCAGAGCCCTAGGTGTGCTTGTCCCCAAAGTGACTTAAAACACATGCTGTTTTTGAACTAAAGCTCCTCTAGGTATGCATTTTGAATGGTGCTCTGCTCCCCTTGCTCATGCAGTTGGCAGCTTGGCTCCCAGAGCCCCCGAAGTCTCAGAGTGCCGGAGCCCAGGTTTTTGCTCTAAAGGAATGCACAGGTGTTGAAGCAGAGAGAGCATGTGCTCCGGATGGGATGGTCTAAACCCTAGAGCCACCTTGCTCTCTGTGTGATTCCAGGCAAGAGATTCTGGATAATTCTGTGCCCCAGCTTGCTTACTTCCTGAATGGCAAAATACTTCCAGCCAGAGGGCTCCATGAGGAATAAATGAAATGTGTGTAAAAGACCTTGTCCAATGCCTGGGCCATGGAGGGGCTGAATATACGGTGGCAACAATGATTACAGTTGTACAGTCAACTTGATTTATGGCCGAGGTTTGTCCTTTTGGAGCAAGGTAGAAACTGGCTGTTCAGTGCCTTTCCTTATCCTCATGCAGCCCTAAGATTTTAGCATTCATTTGACAAGAATACACATCTACCGAAATCAAGAACATGGATTTGACTTCAAAGAGCAAAATTCTTGATGGCCTTAACTGCACTATTTCATTCCACTAGAAACTCTCCCTGGGCTGCGTGTCGGCCTCCCGGGGCTGCTAGCAGAATGGAGTGGGTGGATGGGTGCAACCCCATTTCCATGCCAGGAAAGGCAAGCGAAGATGCACATCCCGCTGCTCTGAGGGCAGTTCTGCAGTCTACAGAGAGCTCAGTAGCACCTCTGAGAAGGTAAGGAAGCAGCAGAGAGAAAGGGGTGTGGCTTGGGGTAAAAGAGTGAGGCTCTTATAACAGACACTCAACTCTAAAGATCAGGCAGGTAGGATCTCTGTTCATGTGGTGGTTCAGGACTGAAGTTCCTTCCATCTAGGTGTTTTATTTTTTTTTTAATCCCCTGAGGCATTGTCCTCGTCTTGTGGTGACTGTGGGCTGCAGCCAGGTCTGTGGTCTGGTTCCTGTGAGAGCAAAGAGTGTGTAGGAACAATGGGACAAGACACACTCCCACTCACTGTGCTTCCCTGGGCCAGAGCGCAGTCACATGACCACACAGCTGCAAAGGAGGCTGGGAGATGGAGTCCTGTGTTAGGTGGTCACGTGCCCAGCTATGGCTTTCTTAGTGTGAGAGGAGGATTTGGTGGATTCTCAGTGGTTTCTGCGAAGACATTGCACAATTTTAAAAAACGAGATTCTAGCAAGCACACATACAAATTCTTAAGTCCTAAGTACAAATTTCATCAATGAGCTTTTTCTCATTGTAAAAGAAACATATCTCTATCACACCAAACCCTAATGATTACCTCTCTCTTTACCTTTAGCCCCCAACATATAGAGACCTGCAACCAGATACAGAAACTGCAAGCATTTATGCCTGTGTTAAGGAGATAAGTCATCACATTTAACCTGCTAGACACAAAGGATGTGAGAGATAGGAAAGCTAAACTGTTTGAAAATTTGTAGCCACAAAGGGATGAATTTTTCCAAGATAGGAAAAAGAATTACAATTTAAAACAACAATCAACAGTGATCAAGAGCAACTTCGCCTGAGAATTTGATTATGTTAAAGGAAAGAGAATAATTTCAAAGCATCACTGTTGAAAGGTGGAGGCCCCCACAGAGTGTGGGTAGGGGCTTAGGCCAGACCATGGCAATTTAATTATTTAAGGTAAGAGAGGGCTTCAGATCCTAACTGGGAGGTTAGCATCTGGATTCTATGAGAATATAAGGTTGTTTGAGCACAAAAGCATGGGGAGTGTGTGTGTGTGTGTGTGTGTGTGTGCGCTCGCGCGCACACATGTGTGTGTGTACACGCATGCATACATGATTTGGAGCATGTGTCCAAGATAACTTCAGCAGCCAGTTCCAGTTTACTTCCTACTCTTTTTCCTCTCATCCTGGAGGAGCAGAGGACAAGGTATTCTAGGAATAGGAGAGCTGCCAGAGATTGCCCAGCTCAGAGAAGGAAACAGGGTGGGCTGTGGCACAGAGAGATATTTCCCAATTAGCCTGATAGGAACAGAAAGAATTTATCTGTGAAACACTTAGGTGTGCTCAGGACTTTACCATCCACAGTCAAGAACCTGAATGTGCTGATACACAGGTTCAGCTCTCTGAGGTGTTCGGGTAAATGCCTAAAGACTGCCAGAAGCCTAGGCAATAAGAACAAATTCCTTGCACTAGATCTGCATGTTGCATCTCCTCTGTGCTCTATTCTGCTGCCTCTGGCATCTGCTGTCCCTTTGCCAATCAGTCCAGTCAAGGGAAAAAAAAAAAGAGCCAAGCTCATTTTTGGAAGTGTTTTTTAAAAGATAGGCTTGCGGCTCCTTATTAACTGTCCTGTTAGGGACTGTTTTCTTCATTTCCTCCCTCATTGAAATGCTGCTGCTCTATTCCCCCTCAAAGACATTTATGCTGTCATAAAGATTTGGAATGTTTTATTAAGCCATGAAAAGAGGGTCACTAACATCACTGTAAAAGACAAACAATATCGAATCATTTAAAAAATGCATATAGAAAAACGGAAAGCTTGATTTGCATTCAAAGCATGCCTAGCATTAAGGGAGAGATGTTATGGGAAACAGAAGACTTTCTCCCCATTCTCTCTGGGGTTTGCAAGAAGCAGTCAGCCCAGGCGTTTCCCCCTTGCGGGGAGCCCTGTGGCTGCTGAAATGCATCCACTCAAGATCAGCACAGGCGGTTAGGGGCACGTGTATACAGGGTTCTCTCAGCCAGGCCCAGATGAGTACTCCTGGTTGCTTCCCACACCTTCCCCAGTAACGATGCTCCACATCGTTTTTGTCTCACAGTCTAAATCTCTGTTATACCTTCCTGTGAACCTACTGACCCTCTTCTGCCTACAGACCCTCTGTATTCCCTGGCTCTTTCCTTCTCAAACAATGCAATAAGCAGATCTGGTAAAGTTCTTAACGAGACATGAAGTGACACTGTACATCAAAGTCTAGATCCAGATTCTGTAAAAGAAGGGTGTATTCTCCATCCTTATGAATAAATATTCCCTAGTTTTAAGAAAAACTTTAAAAATCTATTGATTTTTTTTCAATTATAGATGTAATTTTCTCCTTGTAGAAATAAAGACAACTAATGTGTTTATTGGAGGTTTTGTTTTTCTCAAACACATTTTAAAAAATATTTTCTAGGTTTTTTTTTTTGTTACATACAAAAATGTATGTTTTCCATTTCAAAATTCAGATCATACTGCACCACAACTTTATTGCCTAGATTTTTGGTGGATTTTCTTCTCCTTTTTTCTTTTGATGTTTTGCAGCGATCTCTGTCGGCTGGAAGTCCTCCTTTGTGTGGATGTGCCACAAGGTAAGTTACTCAAGCACTCCCTGCTTCTTCTTCTTCTTTTTTTTTTTTTCTATTTTTCGCTATTTTTTTTAAAAAAAATGCTGTAATGAGCATCCTTGACATAAATTTTCCTGCTTAACTGCCAAATGTTTTTCTAAAATAAATTTCTGAAAGTGGAATTGATGGCTTTTGATGCCATAATAAAATTGTTTTTTCAGAAAGTTTCTAACAGTTTTTTCTCTAACCAGCTGTGTTTGAGAATTACTGAAAACAGGAAAGTCTTAAGGTAGGTCATGAAGCATTTGTCATTAGCCACCAACAGGCCCTCCACCAAAGGGCTGGGCCAAGATTCCTCTGGGCTACAGTTGTGATGCAGGACAAGGCAAATTCCCCTGAATGGGTGGCTGGAAGACCAAGCCCTGCACAGAGAGAAAAAGAGGGTCCTTTGGCGGAGAGTGAAGAAAAAATTCAACACATACACCAAAGTTAGAGTCAAAAGAAAAGTTTATTAGAAAAGGGGTAACACTCCACAGAGTGTGGTCTCCTCTCAGAGGCAGAGAGTGAGAGGGACCCCAAGTGTTCAGGGAATTCAGCTAATATGTCATTCTTTAGTTCCTATTTCCTTTGATATGGACATACGGTGAGGAAGGCAAAGAGTATTTAGCATGAAAAGGTAAGAATATGTAGAGTGAAAGGCCTGCTGGTAGTTCCCAGCCTTTAATATTCGGATTCCCCATGGTTTTAGCCATAGAGAATGATTCTTGGTTTTTGATTCCCCTTCATAGGCCTGGGGAACGGGTTATCAGCAATCCCAGCAGAAATCTTCCTTTGTTCTGCAGGTGTCCTCCTGCCCTGGCTGCAGGGCAGATCAGCACATTGCAGTCTCTGACTGTGGCTTGATTAGCATTTTAATTCTCTTTCC